TGAAAAAATCAAGAATCCACGGGCTTCAGTTCGTTCTCTTCAATGATTCTTTGTGCTTGGGATTGGGCGGATTCGGGAGGCTTGGGTTTATGGCATCGGGCAGTAGGCTTGGGCAAAGGAGGAAGCCCAAAGGGGTATTCGAAGGGAAGGGGTCTGGGTTGTTGAGGGCCTGGCTCCGCCCCAGATTTGATAGAACATTCCACCTAGACGAGTAGTAGCTAGACCTTCGCTGCTGGAAACAGATTGCTTATCTAATAACTCAGCCATGCTGAATGATACTTATGAGTTCTGAGCTATTTGATACCAGCTAGTTTACTTTCTGCTTGCCGCTTTTGCTGCTGGTGCTACCTCCTCCTCCTCCTCCTACTCCTGCCCCTCCTACTCCTCCTACTGCTACTGTTCCTACTGCTCAGCTACTACTCCTGTGACTCCTATTCCTTACCCTTACCGCTACTACTACCGCTACTACTACTACTACTACTACTACTACTACTACTACTACTACTACTACTACTACTACTACTACTACTGCTACTGCTACTGCTACTGCTACTGCTACTGCTACTGCTACTGCTACTGCTACTGCTACTGCTACTGCTACTGCTACTGCTGCTGCTGCTGCTGCTGCTACTGCTGCTACTGCTAATGCTACTGCTACTGCTACTGCTACTGCTACTACTACCCACTACCACTACAGTCGCTACGTCGACTTCGGCTGCTACTCCTGCTACTCCTCCTCCTCCTCCTGCTACTCCTGCGGTTGATGACGGCTGGAGCCCCTAGTGGTACTACTGCTGGCGCAGCCACTGCTACTATGCCTGCGACGATTAGTACTACATGGCGCTGCCGTGTTTCCATGGGGCCTCTGATTGGGCAAGAAAACGCGGATGCGGAAATTTTGGGGCCGAACTCTCGTCTTGGCTCTGGACTTGCCATCTTACATTCCCGACTTGCTGGGGGGAGGGCTGGGAGACCCAGACCTACCTTGCGTTGACTGGCGGGTGTTCGTAAGCCGAGATATGCCGATTTTACATCACAGTCAGCAGGCTCTCATACTGATCCGAAGCTGTCCGGCACGTCGACGCAACACATACACATTTAAAACTCGTGATTCCTGATGCTCAAAGTGCTACGCAACGTTAGGGTTGTAGGCGTGAGCATGCCGATCTCAGCCGGTACTTGCCCTCATCTGCTATGGATCGGCCCATGCAGTTGTGATTTCTGCCAGCCAGGAGATCTCGGCACCCAGCACCCGAGGTGATCTCCTCGCCCCGAAGAAAGACCTGGGCAACTTAACGTGGGTTGGAGACCGTGGAAGCATCCCCCCCGCTGCTCTGCGAAATCTTGGCCTTTGGCATCGTAGGCGTTGGTCCACTTCTCGTCGTGAGGGTCCGGCATGGTGTAAAAGGGTCTCACTTCCTCCAGGGCCCCAACGCGTGGAGCTTCAGGCTGCCGTCGGTCTCACTAAAAACAAGGTGATCTGAGAGACATCACAATATACTCAGCTGAATACTCTCGAAGCTTCCCTCACTGACTTCAAGCACAGGTCCTTCGGAAATTTGTCGATGATATACAACTCTTCACCGTGGGTCTTGCGGATGATGGCGCCAAGCAACTGGCAAGAGGGAAAAGCAAGTCCTCTACTCTTTGCACAGAGCTTTTGACCCGGCCAGTGCATCTTCTGCTGAGCTCGACATTGATTAGATCAAACGTCCTTCTACTGTCAACTACAAGAGTTCCTTGTCCAATATAAACGTACCTGTGCAACCTGGCAGACTCAATGGTTATGCGATGGCCAGCACGGAAACGTACTGGAATGGTCCATGAACTCGAGCAGAGTACACCGTAGGCATAAGTGACAAATGGCGGATTCGTTAGTGCTCCGACTCGTCCTTGCATTATTCGGATCAGTGCCCACTGAAGGCCTTGACCATACAAGTGCAAATGCCCAGCCCCACACAGGCAAACGCGAAACAAAAACTGCAGGTGGTGTTGGTCGAGAGTCCGCCCGTCACGATGAGTAAGTGGTGTAGACACGCTACCGACACAGTGTCGTTTACATCGTCCGCTAAGTGCCACTCTGCATGCATCATGAGGCACAACCGCAGGCACATTCTCATTCAAGCTGCAAGCTTCCGCCAATGTCCTATACGTCCTATACTTGCGACTCCTGACGACCTACGACTCTACGAAAGCCAGGAACACCAAATGATGCAACGACCAGCCGACCAGCAGGCTGGCCGCGAGCTTGCCTTCTCGTCCTCCGTGCTGATGTCCTTCAAAGCGGGACTTCACGATGTAGCAACTGCATTGCAGGACGCTGAAGGTCGGCATCCCAGGTGGGATGGCATCTGCGGCTTTGCCACCGACGAGGGGCCAGAAACAAAAAGAAGGGAAAGAAGAGTATCCGACCACCGCCACCGCACGCGGGTGTCCTCGTTCTCCTGGTGAGCTTTCACCGACCTTCTTGCGTCAGAATCTTGAAATATCTGGGTAGCTTGCGCAGAGCAGATCTTTCAACACGTTCTGAGCCAACAAGCGGATGGTTCGGCTCGGATTGAGTTATTGTTTACATGTGAACTGGCAGACTCGTGCAACATCGGAACAAGTATATGTTTGTAACCTGTCTTTTTCTGTGAAATTCACATTTACAAATATGCACAAGACATGGCCAGTGAAGCTCTTGATGCTATGCATTTCAGCCAGGCCAAGCAGTATGTACGTAAGCCACTGTACAAAACAGATTGCGATAGCTAGCTCCAGAACTTTGAGCGATATGATGGCTTTATAACAAAATATTCCAGCCAGCTGTATTGACCCACAATGCTTCCTTCCTTCGGCACCAACCATTCAACTGCTGGGCTCTTCTGTTTGCCTGTTCATCACCGTGGACATGTGCAAGGCTGTCGGAACCAAACAAAGCTGACCAAGTCGAAGCAGGATACATGTTGCTCGAGACGCAAAACACAAGCAACATGTCTACGAGTCTACGCCTACCCACCTGAGTTGCTCAGATGAAGTACGACGTGTGGAATGATATGACGAGCTTCAGCAACCCAGCCAGGTGCATTGAACTACAGTGCTTCCGTCGTACCAGTACACTAGCAGCAGTTAAATACATGCTGGACTATCCTGCACACTGTATCATCGCAGCGAAACGATGTAGGCCGTTCAACTTTTTTGAATTTGCAAACCCACTGAGATTCTACACGTGGAACGTACAGGTTGCACAAGTACTGTAGAGCCCTAGCTGAATGTAGAAATCAAAGCTGTGGATCTTCGGAGTTTAAGATGCTTCTGTGTTGCTGCTTGTCCTTCGTGCAGGTCACGTACTGAGGACCTATAGCTGGAATGCTGAAGTGGACAGGCTAGCAAAGTCGTTAATCATGAACTACATTGCATGGCACCACCTGGCTTCACGTTACGTTTCCTCACCTCGCCTGGCCATACTCCACCTTACCGTACATACGCTTGTCATGCGTGGATCGCTTTTCCAATTCTCCATGTGGCAACGTTTGAAGCCGACAGCATCTGCAGCAAAACAGAACTGCATGAGGATCACGCTCCAGATGCTTCTCCAGAATCTTCCGCTCATAGTCACTTTCAGCGGCCTGACTTGTCCGCCAGTGTAGCTAGCTTATCTTTCCGGACTGGTGGAATGTGAAGACTAAAGACCCTTCGAACCCCTTCGAGATTAGATGCGCTCGAATGTGCACTCACGAATCCTGAAGACGACGAAGAAACCTAAGTCAAGCCAAACAGCGTGCGAAAGACCCACTGCAACTCAAGGCGCCAAACTGTTTTCGGTGTTCAGGCCTTCAAACCCGCCTGACACGAAAAGGCTCGGGTCTGCTCTAAGAGAGTCCATCGTCCACGTCTGGGACGGTCTGCTTGTGTTCAAAAGACGGCAGCCGACATGTCTCAAAGGCGAAGAGCTGTCTTCTGTAAGCTCAATGATGTACACAACTATGGCTGTGCTGCTGTAGGCCCATGCCCCAATGCGCGTTTCAGAAGAAATCTCCGCGCATCTTCGAGTGCATGCTGTACATATACTCGAATCCAAGAAACTCACGTCCCTGCGCCCGACCATCCAGCAGTCAGAATTGTGCTCGCCATTTGCTACGATACTGCGTATTTACATATTCTAAGTCCTGCATGTCTGTCATGTCTGCATTGTCACGGCTGAAGATTGAAGATTATGACGAACATGATGCCTACGGTCCGATAAGGCCAGCATATCACTTGAGAATATTGACGTCCATGTACTCTCGTCTGCTTGCTACACACAGTCTCGACCTGCCTCGATACTTCCTCACTAGACAAGTCAAGCTTCAGCGACACAAACAAGTTGAATCAAGCTTCGGTGTAACAGGTGCATGTTCTGACTGGGGTCAGGCTCCTGTGGACTCTGAAACAAAACATGTCAAAACTCTGCCCGCGTACCCAAACCAATTGGGCAAAGACTCGGCTCTCTGTGCATGCGCATGGCAGGCGTCAACGTCTGGGTTTGCAATTTAGGGCTTTCCTTCTGCATGAAGACCTCAAACTTTGGTACTGAGCTGAAGCGCCGAATGTTGCCCCACCGGTTCATACCCAGCGGTGTCCAAGTTGGTCTTGAAATCGTATATCAAAGGGATCCTTCGCCGGCATGATGTTCCATCTCAGAAATTTCGTGCGGAACTTCAAACAACAGCGTCAGTTAACAGCCATTGCCAAGGGAAGGAGCACAGGCCGGCTAATATCCCATAATTTGTGTGTCTTTGATTTTATTCGTAATAAAAAAGATGGCTGTGCACCCTGCTGCCTGCATGCAACCCCCAGCAAGGGTTTTAAAATCTTATGAAGTTGAACAGTTTCCAGGTCCGTACGGCACGACTGTGCAAGCCATCTGTTTGTCTGGTGTTGTGCCAGCTTAGCTGTGGCAGTCGGGTGCATCCTGTGGCCAGTGGCTGGATATTAAGTTCGGCCTTTCGTGCCGCTGCAGTGATCAACACAGCTTCTCAGAGCCTCGAGCGACCACCGAACTGCTCTTTCACCGAACGCCGGGCCTCGTGCAAAGTGTACCTGAAGAGCAAGAATCAAGCTACTCTGAGGTAGCAGTGACAAGCATGCTCGAAACTCAGAATGGCATGCTATGGCATGCTGCGAGTCTTTGCCCAGGGACTCTGTGTAGCCATTTGGCGCTTTCCTTCCCTCCAATACCAGCTTCATGGCTGCCTCGACGAGTTGTTCAACAAGTTTCGAGAGTCTCCAGGTTTGCGGATTCGGCACTTCTTCCTCACCAACGCAAAGAGAGCTAGTAGCGATGGCTCAACCTTGAAATGTTAAGAATGTAGAGGTCAATTTCATAGGAACTCCGAGAGCAGGTCGGGGCCTGGAAGGCCGGGCTGTGCTCGGGGTTCAGAGACATGGGGATGTAGCCGGGCTCGCGTGCATTTTGCTGATCGACCAGCTTTGCCATGTCCTTAGACACCAACGGCTGCCCTGGAAACGAACTCTCGGAAAAACCTGTCAATTGGTGAAAACCCGCCGTAAGTGGTGGTGGTGGTGGTAGTACTAGTAGTAGTAGTAGTAGTAGTAGTAGTAGTAGTAGCAGCAGGAGCAGGAGCAGGAGGAGGAGGAGGAGGAGGAGCAGGGAGCAGGAGCAGAAGTAGGAGGAGCAGTAGGAGTAGGAGTCAGTCGTCGTAGTGTAAGGAGTGGTAAGAGCGGTAGGAGCAGTAGTAGGAGTAGTAGTAGGAGTAGTAGTAGGAGTAGTGGGAGCAGTAGTAGCAGTAGTAGCACTAGGAGTAGGAGTTGGAGTTGTTGGAGTTGTGGGAGTTGTGGGAGTTGTGGGAGTTGTGGGAGTAGTAGTAGTAGTAGTAGTAGTAGTAGTAGTAGTAGTAGTAGTAGTAGTAGTAGTAGTAGTAGTAGTAGTAGTAGTAGTAGTAGTAAGTAGTAGTAGTAGTAGTAGTAGTAGTAGTAGTAGTAGTAGTAGTAGTAGTAGTAGTAGTAGTAGTAGTAGTAGTAGTAGTAGCAGTAGCAGTAGCAGTAGCAGTAGCAGTAGTAGTAATATTAATAGCAGCAGCAGCAGCAGGAGTAGTAGTAGTAGTCGTCATCATCATGGCGGTGGTTGTAGTGGCAATGGAAGTGGTAGTGGTCGTAGCGTCGTAGTGGTAGCCATAGATGGTAATAGTAACAGCAGCAGTCGCGTTGGCAGCCGCAGAAGTCGTCAGGGGTCGGGAATAGTGCGATACGAGCTGAACAGATCGACTCTGCGATTGATTGGTGACGGTGAGTGCAAGCATAACTGAAAGGCCGTTTTAAAGGAGGACCCAGTCTGAAATCAAATCATAAGCATGGCAGTCACAAGGCCATTGCTGGCCAAGGCGCCAAAAACACATCACGCACCTGGTCCTCCGAAACAAGATCGTGCTGCAACCTCGGGGTGGCGTCGGACCGCTTTGAAGAGGGAAGTCGGGCTGATGGAAAGGAAGCACGTGCCCCCAAAGGTTCAGACAACCATCACATGGTGGAAGTTGTGATCTGGTCTGCGTCCGGAATTTGGTCTCAAACTGCTGTTGCAGGTTCGTCGAGAGGTTTTCAACTTCTGCGAAGCTTCTCCTGCGGCCGAGCTTCCAATTTGCCAACAATTGGGAAGAGATGCGCAGGGTGGCCCGATCCTCCATGAGTCCCACCTGCGGGTTGACCAAGCCTACTCATCCCGACCGACTTCTGCACATGACGCACATCACACCGTCACGCAGTCTGAGAGCCGACATTCGAAAGGTCCGGCACTTTGGAGCAGCCGATGCCCAAGTCGATCCAGCGCACGACGTAGCCCAAAATACTCTGAGCATTCTCCTTCAAGCTCAGACACTCTGAGGCGTTAATACCTATGCGAACACACATACCTACATGCATACATACATACCTACAGTACCGACCTACCTGGACCCACCGGCCTACGTACATACACACATACCTACGCATTCTTACATTCATGTGCGTATGCATACACAATGTCTTTGTAATACGTACATGACACCCTCCGCCCGCAAGACCCACCCGAAGCAACAATCTTGACACGCACCATCACGCAGCTTGTGGTGAGTTTCATAGCATCGGTGGATTGAATCCTCTCTGCAACGATGTGTGATCATTTGATGCGGGCCATCTCCGTTCAGGAGACGGCCGCCCGAATGGAAGGGATCTTGCCCGATCTGGACCAACACCGTGTTTCGGCACTTTACTGAATCGACATCAGTTGCCCTGGCAGAGCAAGGACGCTCTTCCGATTTTAACATGCAGTGGGTGAACCCTGTCACTCCAAGTAAGCAAGATCGCATATCGCTGTTCTTGGGCCGAAGGGGGTGTGACGGTGGGTTCCGGGCTCCGGGATGGCTGCACAGGAACCACAGGGAAGGACCCGCGGCTCGAAAGCGCCGGCCGTCGCGACAGCACTCCTTCAGCTCGTGGGCGATTTCCTCCTTCGAGAGCTTAGCGGGCAGCAAGGGGGGCTCGAGCAACATCTCCTCGGCCAAGCGCTCTGGCAAGGACTACCCCTGCTACAAACCTTCCTTTGTGTCGCTGATGGCAAGTCGGAAGCACCGGGTCAGTGGAGGCCCGAAGAGCATAACAGGCGAGGATCAATCTTCGCCGCTGGTCGCATCGCCAGCTGCATTTGGCGCTCTGGCACATCCACGTGGTGATAGTGAATGCCTGCGGAGGCGAAACATGATCGAGATCCTATAGGTGTCGTCGGTTCAACTGAGAGCATGGTCTGACTTTGCACAGGATGTATATAGTGTAAATACAGGGATCGAAGCCCTGCACAAACCCTGACATTCCAACACAGATCGCACACAGGGGACCAGTCGACCAACCGCCAGGCCAAGCCACTGTGAAGGGTCGCAGCTGCCGGCGACGGTACCCAAGCCGTGCTTGCCCCGGCCATGAGCTCCGAAATCTTACCTTGCAGCATGTCCTCGAACAGAGAGGAGCACTCTTTATGTGACACCAGATCACGGCAGGGTTGCGTCTATAGGGCTTTTTGGCTCCGTCAAGGTGTCGAGTTAGCCGAAAGGCTCCGGCATTCTAATCGCTTCGCCTAATCGAGGCTTCTCGGCTCTCGTGTTCAGAGCTTGTCATCCCCGTGTATCTCTGCCACACGATTTCAACGCCGCTGTTTTTCTAGCCGGTCTTTCAGGAAGGAGCCTGCGACAAAGGTCTAAGCTGCACAGAGGGTTCTCCGAAAACTGGACGTCCTGGAGGGAACCCTACACAATAACATCTTTCTTCGGACCCCGAATATGGTGCCCCGGATTTGGGGAAACCCCCCATTCAGTCCAGGAAGTTCACCTCAGTTCGAAGCACTCCGAGGTTAAGTTCTTTCGGGGCTGCCGGTCCTGGGTGGGTGCGAGTCTGTATGCATCTTCACTGGACGGAAAAACGATTGAGGGCCCAATGCACTTTTGATTGGTTCAAACCTCGAAGTACTGACCTCTACTAGTTGGCAGGCCTCGTGTAAAGATCCTGTAGCACACATGCCGCTCGTTACTTGTACTTGCGAGCCTTCTGCCCAAACAGTCAGCAGTGCGGCAGAAGACGGCTCGCGTGCGTCACTAATGCCGTGTGCTGCTACTAGGGTCTAGACACCGGAGGCGAAGAAAGCCACGCAACGCGTCCTTCATGCTGTCCGGCTTGGCCCACATGCCTTTGCCGATCCTTACTGCAAGACTAGTTACTAGTTCCGAGAAGAGAGGAGAGGCGGGATGGAAGAACTGAAAACATGTCCGATCCATAGATAGATGAACTCACAGGATGGATGAGCAGCCACTGATGGGCTCAGGTGTGCTTGCACAAGATACAAGTACCGTGCAAACAAACGAAGAACATTCACATTTGAGTGGTAACGAAGCTTGGGCGCAGTGAGAAACAGATCATGTGGAACAGCACAGGGCACATGCCTACGTTTCAGGAGAAGGCCGTCTGCCTCTGAGACGACGACTATGATGATAAGCGTGCCAATGAAGAGTGAAGTCAAGGCATGTCACGTCTAGGTCGTCTTCAGCACAGGTTAAGCCGAAGTGTCCCTTGACATCTGCAACCGCAGCTTCGGCCTGTAAACCGTGTTCTGCATGCCGTGTGTGACTGGTAGACGTTGTTCCCAGCTATCATGCTACGCATGTCTACATGTGAAGGTGTCTGGATCTCTTTGTATTGTAGTAAGTCGGTCCGTCAGCCGGTGGTCATGAATTTGTCGTTTGTGTTTGCCATTGTCCAACATGTGTGCGCACATGTGCTTGAACCATGTAGACAATAATTACATACTAAGCATGCACGTATGTAAGCATGTGTGTATGAAAGTGTCCGTGCCATGTTGTGCGAGTGGACTGTGTATACGCAAGCGTCGCGAGACGAGCTCTATGTGTTGTGTCTACAGTTGCCTTGACGCTGGCAAAAGGAAGTAAACTGCCAAGCAATGTTGGCCTCTTGAAAGTTACAGCTGTGTGCGCAGGCATCGAAATCAAAACGGAAAGGACGGGGTCGGAACGGCGCATGCATTCGGATCTACTGCATGTGCGTCTGTCTATGTCTGTCTCGAGATCTCGGAAGTCTGGTGCGCCGAAAATTATGCCCCTAAGTTGAAAAGGACGTCGAGAAAACCAACCTATTCCCGGCACTGATTCAAGCATCTACTCACTGACTCGCACACACACACAAGGATGATGGATAAATGCGCATGTAGTAAGGTGAATGCACAGATAGGCAGGTAGACCAACAGTCAGATACACAGACGGATGGATGGATAGACGGAAAAATTGCAGATACACGTTGTTTCTTTATAATAGGCTCTATATATCTATAAACAAACAAATAAATTAATATATGTATATAAAAGATGAATATGTGCATTGCTCTTCTTGATATTAGTCTTCTGTCTCTCTCTCTCTCTCTCTCTTTCTCTCTCTCTCTTGCTTGCACGCGGCCAGAGAGCAATCCAAACCGCTCCCGTGCCCTGGATCTTTCGGGCAGTGTGACACGAACCTACTCAAACGTGCTGCGGCCGGGACTCTGTCTCTCTCTTTCTCTCCTCCATCTCCTCCCCCTACCATCCCCTATCCAGCCCAACATTGCACAAACATGGAAGCACCATCCTACTTCCTAGGCAGATGGATAGACACAAGAAGTGGGCTACAGCACAGACACATGATGCATGTGCTTAGTTGACCATATATGACCATACATCCAAACCATTCACAAAACAACGTGCATGCATCTATGTATACATAATTTGTAATATGATGATGATGATGATGATGATCCATCCACGAAATCCTGCTTGCAACGTTTCCTAGATGTCATAGTGCCATCGTGCAAAAATTGCACGAACAAGCTCACGAACGCGCGTGGAAATGCACACGTATGTATGAGATGCCGAGATTTGGACAGGCTGAGAGCGAGCAGGAGAGACGGAGGGCTAGAGAGAGAGAGAGTGAGAGAGACAGATAGAGAGGAAGCGCGATAAGCAGCTAAAAGCAGAGGCACCTCCTTCTTATGTGCTGGGTAAGTAACGGCCTCCGGCTGGCATGTGTGCATACCAACATGTGGCACATGCCAGCAATAGTTGTGCTTCCTCAATAAACCACCAACTGCGGAGAGAACCGTGGTCATCCCAAGGGTACAACCTTCCACTGTCTAACTGTATTGCTGAGTGAGATGCTACATGATTGATATTCAGTATTCGGACCTGTACATCCGAATCTAAACGCATAAGCCCTCAGAGTCTTACATCGACCTCTGCAAGTGCAGTCTAACATGGAAACATCCGAACTTCGACGAACGAGGCTCTGTGCGCGGCCCTGAAGATTGGAGTGAAGTCCCACGTCCACATTGCCCGCCTCGACACAACGGAGCGGAGCTACGGCAACTGCCAACGAAGCTCACCAGCCACTATCAAACCCAGCCCAATGAATTAGTCAGAATAATATCATCATCTTCTCCATCTTCGCATGCAAGGATCCTAGTCCTACTCGTGCTCACAGATTCTGGATCACACTGGCATATTATCTTCACACGCCGCTCAAAGCCGGCGACGAAGAAGCGAACCAAATTCCACACCCTGCCGCTCTGCCCAACAGTGCTTCCGTGGCTGCGGACCTCGTAGGACTGAATCCAGTTCCTGACACACTTGAGATCACGTGAGGGTCTAGGGACGGGTGGCCACGGGGTTTCCCAGGACTACCACCACTTCTGCAGCCACCATCACCATCGCCACCAGCACCACGACTACGACTACTGGTGCTACACTTCTCCTGCTAAACTAACTATAACTAACTAACTAACTAACTAACTAACTTACTTACTTACTTATTACTACTACTACTACTACTACTACTACTACTACTACTACTACTACTACTACTACTACTACTACTACTACTACTACTACTTCTACTACTACTACTGCTACTACTACTACTGCTACCACTACTGCCGCGCACATGGCGCGGCAAACGGGTGCTCAGTGGTGTGCTTCATTGCAACATGCAGAGTGTGGTCATGCAAAAACTGTGTTTTCGCTCGGGATTTAAGCACATTCTGGAGCTGCGCAGGAAAGTGTTAGCAAGTTTGAATGTTCGACTTGCATGCGAACACAGGACGATTTGGGCGTCCTTTTTGTATGAGTTCTGTTCTGCAATCGGCAAAAACACCAATTTTTTGCTGTTCCGTTGTCTGACAAATGCGGCTTTTTCCGGCGGCAGCAGCCAGCACGTGTCGTGGAACGCCATGTTCGGCGCAAGCATGTCCTCCACATCAACTAATTTTCGCTGTTTCAATTGCATTTTTCGTGGCAGGCGCAGGACGTACGAATGTAGATGGTTTCCAAGACCTCTAAAAGCCAATCGAGTCTATGAGACGAGATATTGATGATCGTATGGGAGGACCTGATGGCAGCATGGGATCTTCATCATCTTCGCCGTCACCATATCGTGGTGCACTATGTTGCAAAAGGCACAGATGGTGGCTGTAAATACCAGTTGGGTATGGTCAGGCATCACTGCTTATGACAGTGCACCTTATGCCAGAAAGCCAAACATCGTTCTGAAGTATGCCGCATAAAGTGGCGAAACCCTGTAAAAAAAAACAGTGGTTCGGGCACGCTCGCACAAGGCATGAACGCTTGTTACAGCGCGTCAATCAACATGGAAGCATGGAAGCTTATATGCCACTGACCGATGTAGACATGCCGTTATTATCCCCCCTACCCCACCCCACCCCGGAAGTCACCCCTAGTGTGGCAAGCAAAGGTGATGGGCGGTACTACAACGACGACTGCTACTGCTACTGCTACTGCTACTGCTATGCCTACTCCTACTCCTACTCCTACTCCGACTCCGACTCCTACTCCTACTCCTACTCCTACTCCTACTCCTACTAGTACCACTACCAGTACCAGTACCAGTCCCAGTGCCAGTGCCAGTGCCAGTGCTAGTCTAGTACTAGTACTAGTACTAGTACTACTACTGCTGCTACTACTACTACCACCTCCGCTACTGCTAAATGCTCCTGCTGCTGCTGCTGCTGCTGCTACTGCTCTGCTCCTGGTCCTGTCCTGCTCCTGCTGCTGCTCCTACTGCTACTGCTGCTACTGCTGCGACTGCTGCCACTGCTGCTACTGCTGCTGCTGCTACTGCTGCTCCTGCTACAACTGCTACTGCTGCGACTGCTGCGATTGCTGCCACTGCTGCTACTCGTGCTGGTGCTGGTGACACTGCTACTCCGGCTACTGCTCTCCTTCTGCTTTTCGCGCGAATCTGCTGCAGCTTTTGAAAACCCTGTTGGTACTGCGAGCTCGAAAGCCCGGTCTGCTAGATCGAGCGGCCTCACAGACTGGAGCCTGACTGACGGACATTTCGCAGCACAACCTCCTCTTCATTGAGGTGAACGCATTGTAAAACATGGAGGCAGCGCTGACAACAAAAGCTCCTCGCTGCCAAGAAGCTGCTTCTTCATGTCGCCCTTGCGCACCACCGGCCCAGCAAACATGCATGTATGGATCTCGTCTCCTGTGCGATCCAAAAAGCCCGTGTTGATGAAGAACACCTTGTCGGGGTCTGGGGTCGGTCGTGGCTCCAGGGACGGCAAGGGACTTTGCACAATCCTTGCATGCATACTGGATGCAACCCTTTCCGATCAAAATGGGCCATCCACTAGCACGATGCCCCTGGCCTTTTGCTAGCTCCTGATTGAAGTGATGTGTGGAATGCAGGTAAGACGTGTTGGATTCCCGATGGCACTGGGAACATTATCCTGACAAATTGGCCGTCACCTTGCCTTACAGAGCAGGGGCGTGGTTGAGGTGTTTTGCAAAGAACAACTGCAAGCACCTGTCCTGCAGGGGGATGAGGTATATACCACATCCAGCTACACGGCCAGCTGGATGAGAATGTGTTTTGAAAGGGACGGGCAATAACTCCAGCGCAGGCTCAACTTAAACTTCCGCGCGTGCCCTCTGTCTGAGTGAAGAGTTCTATGGCCGAAGATCGAAACCATAACCTGCTGCAACCTGAGGATCTTTCGGCACTATACATGATGCCCAATTAGAGATCCATTGCACTCTGTCAGAAACAGGCATGTTCACAATCTCTTTGGTTGGGAGAACAGCGGGCCACAAACAAGCTCAGCAGATCTGCGGAGTGTAGCACAAGCCTGTCCCTTAAATATTAGCTGTTGAACCGAAGGGCACACTAAGCATTGTGAAAAGCACCTGTCTATGCTCTACATTTTTAATGCCCCAGAACCATTCCAAAAGAATCTCTGAGACTGAGGCTCCCAAGGCCCGTGAGGCTAACATGCGCACCCCACTCCGATGGAGCATGACTGGCACGCCATAACTCGCACAACGTGGCGAGATCACGAGTCGCGCCCCACAAGACGCAGGGACTTCTGCGGACATTTCGTACCGATGTCACCGTCCCATCATGTCCTTTTGCTGGTGTTGAAGACTTGGAGTCCTCATCACTGCTGCTGCTGCTGCTGCTGTGCCATAGACGATGACACACAGACACACAGACACAAATACGCGGAGCTCCCTCAGATAAATAAAAGACATGCAAGCTGAAAGTGTCTGGGAAGTTCGGGGCTGTGAGCTTGAAAGTACAGTAGTGGAGAAATGGATTCCGGGTCAGTGCCACTGGAATCGACAGTCTTCACGATACGGATGCTCACATCGCACGACAAGGAAGTTTTCACTTTCTGACTGCATGACGACTGTGACTGTCATGCATCTCCGCCCTGTCGGCGCCTGACCGCAGTACGCGACTCGATGGTGCTGTGCTGATGGCTGAAACGACCAGCTAATGCAAAGCTCCTGGAGATTTGGGACGTGGCCTCTTGTCATCTTAAGCTCTGCATCTCTCTGTTTGCCGAGTCACCCGCTCCATCGCTGCCCGGAGGCACTCGCGCAAGTTGGCGCTGGTCCGGCGCTCCTCGTCCATGATGCCCATCCTCTGCTGTGGCTTTGTATACAAGCTTTCGGACCTTGGAGCCGCTTCTTGAAGGTAGATTTGCCGGCTCTGTCCTATTCGATGCTTGGGCAGAGCCAAGAGGTGACAAGGGCTTGGCCCTGCCCTCTCCGACGCAAGCACCGTTCCGCGGACACCAACATGTGCCAATGCAGGGGCTGGGGGACTTCACCTTGAGAAGTGCGGATGGAAGCGAGCCTCAAGCGAAATGACGATTAGTTCATCTTTTCCCACCCCCCAAGGCACGTGCTAAGACTTCTAAGATCTGAGTAGAACTCTAGCAGGAGTGTCCGTGGAAACACGCGGAACCCTGACTTCAACACAACGACCTAACTTCATACATCAGCAAGAACCAGACCAGTGACCAGCAGGAAAGCATAGGAAAGCCGCAACAAGCTTAAACGGGGAGCTTGATGGTGTTGCGGCGCAGACCGAAGAATTCCTCCGCTCGGCCGAACAACCGGCTTGTCAGCGCGATCTCCTCGGAGCGATTTCAAAGGGGCACTTTGGTTGCAAGACTTGACGTTTGTAGCCGCTTCTGCTGTCTTCATGAACTTGGTCTTCGATACCATGCCGCTAATCCGATGTCTGCGGAAAAAGACACCGACCTTCAGCGACCCGAGTGGTTGCGGCAGCTGCGACTCCGCACCGCTTCAATCCCTTCAGTGTTCCACTGCAGATTACACCACCAACATCTCCCTCCCTCCTGCTGCCATGCCACATCTGGGCCATGTTGCTTAGGCTTCACGATGTAAACTGAGCCTGCCAGACCAGACTTGAGGTCACACAGGGGATTGTCAGGGGGGTGCACTATAACTGTAGTGTAGGCTCAGCATGGCTCGGCACGGCATTTGCATTATCGGAGGCTGCACCTGAATTCCCGAAAGAAGCAGGACTCCCACCGCATGCCGATAGTTAGCACTCATCGATGTCGTGAGGATTTGTCAGAATTGAGCATCAGCAGTTATAGTACCACCACCGCCATATAGTCAGTAATGCCCGCCTTCGCGGCTGTTCATAAGACGCGAGGTGCCCCGCAAATCGTGGAGGGCACTCGCTGTGGTGACCAAGCAGTCCAAAAAGCCTGCGTTTCAAAGATGCAGCCGAGAGACTGGATCAAGAATGTCATTGCGCAAACGGATGCACTCGCCACCTCTGCTACTTCAATCTATATCTTCAACCTTTAACAGCCCCACCTTCCGGGACGAACTTGCCATCCGACGTCAGCACCGCATCTGTGAACCTGGCTCCCGGGACATCCAATTACACAGGATGGACTCTTCGTCCATATTCCTCATTATCAGGCTGCCGATTCCTAAGTTAGCTCGAGTCGCTGCGATGTGAGCTGCACGGAATTGCTTCACTCCACCGCCAGCAAACATCTCAACCCATGTCTGGGCACATGTGGTGGCCAACGTTTCGCACGAGAGCTAAAGCTCTGCCGGGGATGGTGCAAACCTGGGCAGGCGAAAAGCAACGGGGCCCCTATGCCAAAGTGGCTTTGCATTCTCTGAGACTGTGAGGCACGTATCCTGAACTACACACCTGTCCCGCCAGCAGCCTGCCTGCAAGCCTGCAACAGTTTAGCACACCGAGAGCTAGCTTTTCAGCATTGAACAGCACAGCCGCTGGCTACACACCATCCCAAACACCATTGCACGTTGGCATCGCATCAGCAGCTACTTCTGCATCGAATGGATCAGTGGATATTTGCAACGGACTCCTGCAAGCAAACCAAGTTTGGTTTCCGGAAGATAGTGCCCCACTTGACCCAGCTGGAAACTGAAAACCTTGCCAATCAAAAAGACTCGCATACCTACTACCTGCTGTGACTGACCCTCGCACCAACTTGCTGAACAGGTCTGGCAGCATTGCCCTTTGCATCTCGGAACCTGAGGACACATTGTCGACGCCATCAACACAGTATAGGACAGTCAAAAGCAATACGTGGCTTACCAGGAGGTTGAACATCAACAGGACGGGCAACCTCTCCACAGGGCCGGGGCCTGGGGCAATGAGGCAAGGGATTAAACATATTGGGGAAAGAATATTTTTCCCCCTAAACATATTGGGGACAAATCTTTTTCCCCAATATGTTTAGTGCAAGTAAAAAATCGTGTCACGGTGCGGCCAGGGTGCCAAACATCGTAGTTCATCTTCCTCGTCAAGGCTTTGCCGTCCTGTTTTTCGAAAGCAAACTCATGAATCCCGGCCACTCAATAGTTCAAAAGGGATGTGGAAAATGGATCTTCTGACTTAGCGGGGACCAGCATGTCACGCCGAGGTGTCCTTGACGAAAGGAGCCTCGAGAGCACCGCGGAAAATGCCGCAAATGTTGCCTGAGGCTCTGCATTGAGTTCTGCGGCTGTGTTGGAAAAGGTTGCTTATGTTGCTGTTGTTCCGTAAAGAAATACATGCGAGGAAAAAAGGAAACAAGGCTTTCTGCGATTAACGTTTCAGGGAATCAGGGCTGAACAATCTGTCGTAAGTGCTTGGAGTCTTGGAGCTAAGCCGTGCTAAATAGCACCAGGCCAATGTGACAGAGATCAGCCGACAACATTCTCCACTTGGCACATGATGGGTGAACCTGTATATATATATATATATACATATATTTATATATACATATAGATATATGCGTTTGGGCGTGTATGTTTCATTCTAGCCAGTGCTTGTACATATGCATATAACAGTGTAGCAGCATTTTGCCTGGCATCCTGCCCGTGAATGCTAAAGACAAACTGAGACTGCTGCATGGGTGACAAGACAGGGCAGCTGCACCCAAAAATGCAGAAGAGATTGCGTGAGCACGGCGACAAACCGATTGTGCTCCGGTCCGTGTATGTGTGTGTGTGAACTTCACACTGCCCAGTGGCTGTAGATCTTGCACTTGTCCTCGGCATCAACCGCGGAGACCGAGTCCTCCATGTCAAGGATGGCGGTCAGGGCGCTCTCGGTGGTGATGTCCTGAGCCAGGGATCGTAATCAAACAGCGATCTCCCAATTCCAGAATAGTATGTAGCCGACTGCCGGGAGCCGGCTGGGTGATGACCTTCCAAGTCGATCTTCAATCACGGCAATGAGTATTGTGCATGCCAGTCGCCATCTCACGAGTGCACAACCGACCCCTGCGGTCTGAGTCCTTGATACCGCTTAGAGCTGCCTTGCCAATGGGGTGTGTGCGATCAATCTCCAAGATCCTGCGCGGCTGGTTCGGATTTGCCGGGTATAAACGCGACAATGACGACAAGCAGTGGTGGCCATGGATGGATGTTGCAACTAGCTAGCTCAGTTCCATAAATAACCATTGTGCCAGGCTTTCCCGCTCCGAAAAGACAGGCTTTCGAACCGCCAAACTGGCTGTTTCAGGCTTTACAAGAAAAAGGCACAAGGCACTACCAGATATGCACTAGAATCAAGATGAAACTCCTTGCAATCCTAGCCAGCAACTACATTCTGCTGACGGCGTGCAGATGCTGTTTGGCTACGGCCAACAACCCCGCAGCTGAAGCACAGGCCCAGCGGTGCCAAAAAACAGGCGGGACACACGAGGCAGAACCTCGAATCCTGAAGCAGCTATAGAAGCGAGGAGCATGTGCAATCCGTTGTGCTTCAGGAAGATGCGCCCCTGGTCTGGCACACAGGGGCTGGAGGGCTGAGGTCGTGCCACATCTGCATCAGGAGGTCCCAAGTTGCCTCAGAAATCGCTGGGGAGCAACATACTAACCACTGCCAGAGCCTGTGTGTGAAGTAGTTGTGGTAGTAGTAGTCGTAGTAGTAGTGGTGGTGGTGGTTGTGGTGGTGGTGGTGGTAGTAGTAGTGTTAGGGGTGAGCAATGGTAGTTAGTAGTAGTAGTAGTAGTAGTAGTAGTAGTAGTAGTAGTAGTAGTAGTAGTCGTAGTCGTAGTCGTCGTCGTCGCAGTAGTAGAAGTAGCAGTAGCAGCAGTAGTAGTAGTAGTAGTAGTAGTAGTAGTAGTAGTAGTAGTACTGTAGTAGTACTAGTAGTAGTAGTAGTAGTAGTAGAAGTAGTAGTAGTGGTAGTGGTAGCGGTAGTGGTAGCGGTAGCGGTAGTAGTAGTAGTAGTAGTAGTAGTAGTAGTAGTAGTAGTAGTAGTAGTGGTAGTGGTAGTGGTAGTTGTAGTGGTAGTGGTAGTGGTAGTGGTAGTGGTGGTAGTGGTAGTAGTAGTAGTAGTAGTAGTAGTAGTAGTAGTAGTAGTAGTAGTAGTGGTAGTGGTAGTGGTAGTGGTAGTGGTAGTGGTAGTGGTAGTGGTAGTGGTTGTGGTTGTGGTTGTGGTAGTGGTAGTGGTAGTAGTGGTAGTAGTGGTAGAAGTGGTAGTGGTAGTAGTGGTAGTGGTGATAGAAGTGGTAGTAGTGGTAGTAGTGGTAGTAGTAGTAGTAGTAGTAGTAGTAGTAGTAGTAGTAGTAGTAGTGGGGGTAGTAGTGGTCAGCACTCGTCGTCGTCGTCGCATCGGCATCAATGGCACCTAGTCTCAAACGTAGTGTTGTACCACAGCAGCCGGTTCCAGCGAAACTTTGAACTTCTTGGCGCCGCCATCGGAGACGAGGACTTCACTGCTTCACACTGCTTGGCTCGGGCAAAGGCAGCCGCCCCGCTTTTGGAAGCTATTAGCGGGCTCGAGGACTCTCAGGTGAGCCTGCGGCTGCTTCGGTCGTGCGCGGGCCACGCCCGCCTCGTGCACTCCATGCGATGCACGCCGCCCGCGAGCCAGCTGTCTGCCCTGCACCATTTTGACTCCTCGGTTAGGGAATGTTTCGCCGGTTTCACGGGCCTGCATTTGGACGCGACTCAGCTGGAGCAAGCGTCGCGAGACTTCGCCCATGCCGGCCTGGGGCTTCGGTCTACTGCTTGCCGCCTACCTGGCTTCTGTCGGAGGGAGCTACAAAGCCTGTTGTGAGCTCGATGCCTCCTATGGCCTTGCTCCTCTCAGCAGTGACCCCTACGTGGTGCAAGCGCTCGCCGCCTTCAACGACTTTCTGCCCCAACCCCTGGCCGCGGATGGTGTGCTGGCTTCCAAGCAGAAAATGCTCACCACTGCCGCTGATGAGGCCAGCTGGCAAAGGCACTTGGCCACCTCGTCCCTCGCTGCCCGTGCTGTCCTGCGATCGGAGGCGGAGCCTGGAGCACGCGCCTTCCTGGCAGCCGTTCCGAGTGGCCCAACCCGCATTGAGTCAGCGGCCTTTATCGTGGAGCTGCGGCAACGTTTTGGAGCCCCCGACGCTGCCTCGGACACCTGGTGTCCGCTGTGCCAGGGCGTGCTCGACACTCTCACTCCTTACATGCCAGCACCTGCGCGGCCGGTGGTGAGCGAACGCAGCGACACCATGCCCTCCGTGATGCTTTGTGCAACTGGGCCGCCAGGGCAGGGCTGCAGCCTGAACGAGAGCGGCCGGGACTTCTCCTTCCCCAGCGCCCTGAGGAGGCCCGCGTTGCTGCAAGGCGCCCAGCCGACATATATTTGCCCAGCTTCCAGGGCTCTCCCGTCGCACTTGACCTGGCCGTAGTGGCCCCACAGCGTCAGGAGAGTCTGGCCCAAGCTGGACAAGTTGCGTTGGCTGCCGCGTCTTCCTACACCCACACCAAGGAAACACACCTAGATACGGCCAAGCTGTGCTCAGACCAAGGTGTGCGGTTCAGACCGTTGGTGGCAGAGGCTACTGGGGCCTGGACTCGGGATGCCTCTACAGTCCTGCTGGCCGTTTCCAAAGCCGTAGCGGTCCGGACCAACCAAGAAGCATCACTCCTGCACGCGCAACTCTTGCAGGAGCTCAGTGTCATAGCCCGAGGCCACAGAGCTCGGGCAGTGCTCAGGCGCCGGGCGGAGGCGAGCGAGCACGCGTACATCCGCTGCGCGTGGGAGGACCCTGCGCAGGGAAGGTGGGAAAGTTGACGGGCCTGGCTGCGTCTTCTTTCCACGACCTTATGGGCGCTGCGTTTGGGAGGACCCAACGTAGGGGAGAGGGGACGTGGACGGGCATCGCCGCGTCTTCGTCCCGCGTCTCCGATCCATTGTGCACAGGGCAGGAGTGTTGAGCCCTGGGGGCTGGACGCAAGTCGCAGACAGATGGGCTAGGGAGCAGCTGGCGTCGTAGTTGAGTGGCTCTGCTTGGGCATCTGTCACACTGTGACGAAGCCACTGTTCCACGCATGTTTGTATGGGGGCTGGGGCATAGCCGGCAGTACTCTGCCTGCCCGGGTTGCGCGCTTGCAACGTCAAGTAGCGCCCAAACCCTTCATACGAGCATGATTTTGGTTCCATTCTGCCTGTTGGCAGATACTTGTGTGTCTCACGTTCGACCTCACCTCTCAGTAATCATCTCCAGACAAAAGGAAAGGGGCCTTGTACCACAGTGTGGTACGGGATCACTCTTCACGTCAGGGCCAGCAACAAGAAGAACAACAATGACACCAGCAAGGACGACAGCAGCGGCAACAACAACGGCCATAGCCACAACACAACAGCAGAAGCCGCAACAGCAGCAGCTGGAGCAGCAATAAGAATACCGCCGCCGCCGCCACCACCACCACGCCGCCACCACCACCACCATCATCACGCCAGAATCATCAAGACCACCAAGACAACCAAGACCACCACCACCACCACTCAAATACCCAGACAGCAGCGGCAGCAAATGTAGTAGTAAAGGGAACCAAAAGTAAAACTTAAAGCGAAAGCATTCATCAAACTGTGACTGCCCTGGCTCCGAATGCTAAAGCCAGTATGCCCGGAACAAGCCTGGTGTGTAATGTGTACATATAATGTTACATAACTCATCAAATTCTGTGTCGAACGTTCTGGTTATGAAATTCAAAAACCCCTGAAATGCAGGACGTGCGTGAATTGGCATGACAACCTGCAGCTGGCGTGGTTGAAGCGCATAAATCCCGTGAATGCAGCATAGTCACCCTGAGAGCCCACGAAGAGGGAGGGCGTCCTCTGCTGGTGCTGCCATGTAACTGGACTCTGGATTTGGAAAGGGGTCGAAGAAGTGTAAGTCACTGCAAACCCCAATACGAACGGCTTATTCATGCCGTGCGCGTGATCGGGTGGGGGGGCGTTGCAAGTAATGGTGCCACTACTCAGGACAGGCAAGGAAACAAGCAACCCAAATAGGAACATCTAGTGGTTTCTGGTCTCCTTTTCCGGCAGTACCTCATGCGGTCTTGCTAAGGCTTTATGTACGTGCCCCCCCCACAGGCTTTCTCTTGCCCGAAACGAAACGAGTTGTCGCCTCGTTCGGAGAAAGAGCTCATGCAATCATTGTCGGCTGTCCGGTCGGAACTGTGACGGAGAGCCCCTGCTGCAAACTTCCAGGAGCATTATATTGGTCACAATGAAAAGCAAGGCCAACGTCAACGGCGCTGTCCGTATGATGAACTGTTTTGTGCAGAAAGCTACTAAACTGCTTAGCCAGTCTCTTCCGGGAGTCGTGGCTACGACATTTTCATCACACCTTTACCAAAACTGCGTTGCTCGCGAATCACTACTTCCAAATAGGCTGACAATGCATGTAGCAGATTCTAAAACATGCTGTAGAACTTCCCAGACCACGCCTAACACCCATCTCTCGAGGTCCTGAGGGCTGTCGTTGTACCGTCCTTGAGGAGAAGCTCCAGCCGCTGAACAGAGCCCACGAACTTGGGCCAAAGCCTGCAAACATCGCCCCATTTTCCGTGGACCTGAGATGCAGGCACTTGCTGCTGGAAACCCAAAACACATCCGGTATCCGCTTCACTTTGCCGACATTGTTTCTTTTGCGATGAGTACCGCTGCGAAAATGCGCCCGCTTGCTGGGGTATGACTGAACGGAAAATGAAAACCACAGGTTTGGAGCTATTCCATTCAGGATCCATGCGGGTGTATCCCAAAGGTGCACGAGTCCCGCCGGTACTTATGCACGTGCGACCCTACACAGAAAGAATCCGTCAACCACTGTGCGTGTAAACAGATCTCGGGCGCGTGGGCCACAACGAGACTCGAAGCACTTTGTCATTGTCTGCCGGGCGCGAGCCGGTTCAGAATCTGTCGGCGACTCCGAGTGAGGAAAGGCTTGGATTACTGGTGTTTTGAGCTGCACGACATCGCCCGAACCCTTTCTGATGCGCTCTGCATTCTTTAAGTTTGGAACATCCCTTTTTGTGAATCACTTTGTGCCTCCCGTTGGGTTTCAAGGCACTGCGCATTGAGGCTGCTGGAATGTTTGGTGCTGTGGTCATGCCCGCATGCCGGAGACACTCACTAACACTTCCGGCACCGGTGAGATGCTCAATCCCCCATGCATCAGCAGTTTTTCAAGGTTTCCCACACTGCCACTGCACTTCTCTGGAAGGCTATGTCGACAATGGCATGGGGGGGGTTGTTCAGCAAGAGTCTATGCTGGGGAGAGAACGAACAGAGAACAAGCATGACGGTGAAAGCTTTACTACACAAGACCAATTGGCAAGGGGAGCGATCTCGTCGAGCAAGCCATTCGCGAAGTCGATGACGGCCTCTCCTGACACTGCAAGTGAAAGTGTTTGTCTGTAGCCGACTGTCCACCGAGTCACTGTTCAGAATAACATGTCTTTGAGGCTCCTCTCATGGGGTTATAGCCGGACGAGCCCTTGGCGGCGTTGATCTCCACGCCGCTGCTCGTGACGGAATAGGCGGGGATCACGTCGAAGCCGTAGAGGGCATCATAGAGGGACCCCCAGCGAGCGTTCACGGCATTCAGGACATAACGCGCGTTGTCGGAAGGCACCACTAACTGAGGGGCTGGCACCTTGGCGATCTCCTCGTCCACAAACTGTGTGGTGACGCTAACCTTGCAGCAGTTCCCAATGCAAACCTAGACGCAGAGCGTGGGCCGTCCGTTGCAGGGATGTTGCGAGTATCGGATTTGGGCGATTTATGCAAGCCAGGCGGCCGGCCCCTTATCCGGGACGAGATAGCCGATATCCCGCAAAAAATCCTTGGTATGGACTTGCCCGGCACCCGGCAGGAGATCTCGTGCAACCACCCGAAACCTGATTGTGGGCAATCGGAAAAGCCTGAATGTACACGGCTGGCTCGAGAATCACAAACATGAGCAGTTCATGGAGTAGTGAACACAGTGGCAGTGGCTCAAGCCTCGCGAGAATTCAATCGCCTCCAAGAACCCCGCGCATGCCTATGACCTTGCTTCACACTTGACCTGCCTGTGACAATAATACTGCCAAACATCAGCGTGCGCATCGGTTTGGACTGTGATGCTTGGGTCGGAGAGAAGCCGGGGGGTTGGGGAAGTACTTCTGTCCGGCTCTCAGTGTTGCCGCCAAACCCTGTTCTAATAAGTTCTATTACCTTCAATGCATCAGTGTATCCAAATCTACCTTACAAAGCCCATGCATCCGGCCGAGTATCGCGGCAGGATGGCCGATAGTCTGGCTTAGACAAGTCGGCCCCAGACCTTGTTGTTGGCAATAAGTTTGCAAAACCAACGAAACATGAAGGTGGTAACAATACCCACAAGAGCACAACGAAGCAGGACGGACAGGAGGAGGAGGAGGAGGAGGAGGAGGAGGAGGAGTAAGAGGAAGAGGCCACGAAGGAGAAAACAAATGTAAAGCAATCACATGATTGCTGTCATTGTTATGACATACATGCTGTCACAAACTGCAAGCACGCGCATGGACGCAATTGCAGGCATACAAACCTAAATTTTAAATACCTACGTGCATACATACATACATACATACACACACGCACAAACACATACGCACAACCACTGGACAACCACTCCTGCACTAGTTCCTACTCCTTCAGTCACCGCTGTCCTCACCCACCCCGATCCCCACTTCCCCCCCCCCCCCACCCCACCCCCACCACCACCCGTACCCCGACTCTTCCTCCTCATGTAGCGTGTTTAGCGACAGCAACTATTGCTAATTCATTGCTGCTGCTACTGCTGCCGCTGCCCAGGACCACGACTAGTGCTTGACATAGTGCTGCTGCTGCTGCTGCTCCTACTACTACTACTACTACTACTACTACTACTACTACTACAGTTACTACTACTACTACTACTACTACTACTACTACTACTACTACTACTACTACTACCACCAAGATGACTGCTACTACCACAACCACTACCACTACTACCAGCACTACTACTCCCACTTCTACCTCTACTACTACTACTACTACTACTACTACTACTACTACTACTACTACTACTACTTCTACTGCTACTGCTACTTTTGAACCCAGGCTACTGGTACTGCTACTGCTACTACTACGACTACCACTACCACTACCACTACTACTACTACTGCTGCTACTACCACCAAGATGACGGCTACTACCACAACCACTACCACTACTACCAGCACTACTACTCCCACTTCTTCCTCAACTACCACTACCACTACCACTACCACTACCACTACCACTACCACTACCACTACTACTACTACTACTACTACTACTACTACTACTACTACCACTACCACTACCCCTACCACTACGACTACGACTACGACTACGACGACTACTACTACTACTACTACTACTACTACTACTACTACTACTACTACTACTACTACTACTACTACCGCTACCGCTACTACTACTACTACTACTACTACTACTACTACTACTACTACTACTACTACTACTACCACTACCACTACCACTACCACTACCACTACCACTGCCACTGCCTCTACTACTACTACTACTACTACTACTACTACTACTACTACTACTACTACTACTACTACTACCTGCTGATGCTGCTACTGCTACTGCACTGCTACTGCTACTATTACTGCGATTGTGTACTACTAGCACTATTTTTTCTGCTGAGTGCTGCTGACGAGCACCTCCAGCGATTGAAGCAGTCTTCCGGATGCTTCGCAGCATGGCGAGGACATGCACGTTGCTGACTTATGAACTTGTCGGTACCCGAACTGCTAAATGTTGCTGCCACGCAGTCAGCAATGGCAAATCGTTCCCATCGGACTCATCAGTTATGTAAAGCACAGGCAGCTCAGCATTCAGTCCCGAAGACGCGGCGGCTCAGTATCCCCGCTCCTCATCGCGTTTGTCCACCTTTGTCCAAACCGAAATCGTTGCAATCCTGCCCGATGCACCGCACCTCCGTCCAGTCCAGTCTGTGCAAGCTAGTGGGTGGAACTCAAAGCAGATGTCGAAAATCACCGGGGAGGTACTGCCTGGCCGAGAGGTCCCAGTGGCGACCTGTCAGGTTCAGGACATAGATCCGATTGTCGTGGGCTCCATAAATGGCTCCTTGCAGCGATGCTAGGCCTTGCAAGGGCATAGGCATACTCAGGCCCACCAGTGCCCAGTGGCTTTGTGGCGTCATGCTGTCGAGGGCCTGACAGTACATATTGTCGTCTAAGCCTATGCCATAAATAATGCCGTCGCTTATAGCAATTGCTGTTACGCTGCCATCTGCTGCGAGTTCCCACTTCCACGCAGGGTTCTTCCACTTGGAGTGTCTCCAAACTTTCCGGAGTACGGTGGGAAATTTGTAGACCATGTAATCGGAATAGACTGCAAAAACTACGTCCCTGTAGGCCGTCAACCAGATGTAAGGACCCGGGCTCACCATGTACCAATTGCGTGTCAGACTGTGCGAGCTGGTTTCAGAGGCTCTGTAAAGCATGTTATTTGAGAGCAGCATGATTCGGTCCTTACAGTGCAATGTCTGCTGTATCGCGTCCTGTCTTGGTTCAATCGCTCGGGTTGGGTTTGCAAATGCCTCCAAGATGGCAGATGCTTGCACCTCGTAGCTCTGCAAAGCTCTGTTGCAAAGAGCGCGGGCATTTCCACGCAATACGTACATCTTCGCCTCATCGACCACCTCCTGTTCCAGCGTGTCTATGAGATCTGGCAGGGCCAGACCACGTCGAAGCTGGAGGCCGTATGTCTCAAAGTTCGTGAAACCTTCCAAGGGCCGTACCCAGTCATGGGACATCATCACCGGAATGCTGCCGGAACAGACGACGTCATTAAAGGCGGAAACATCTGCAAGGAGGCTGAAGGCCGAGTGCAGCAGCAAATGCTGCAAGTCGAAGCGTGCATCAGCCTCATTCACCTGCATAGTTGCCAGAAAAGGTCGACAGGAACAGTCTCCAAGCTCAAGGATATTGAAGCACAAGTCTTATGTTGCAACTTAAGCATCAGCTATGCATCAAAGGCTCCAGGACGACATGCCTTCCGCGGTATCCAACAGTCTCGGGCAGGCCAACTTCTCGTAACCGGCCCTTAAATGAAAGAAAGTAGCGCTTCATGCCCACTGGCTCGAGGAATGAATGTAAGCTCTCTGGCCTTGAAGCCAAAGGCGTCGGCTCGGATGGAATCGCCAAATCGCGGTGCAGTCTGAAGGAGTCTCGCCTCGGACCGATCCGCAGCCACGACATGTCCGATCGATCTTCCGGCGGGATGTTGAAGTCACCAGCATCAAGCAGAACCAGGAGTTTGCCACGGAGGTCCTGGCAACAACCATCTCTTTTTCCTGTTCTTGTTCTTCCACACGCGACGCTGCAATGAAGAAGCTCCCTTAAGGCCACTACTGTACCAAACGCTTACATCACGCCGATGTGAGCGAGGCCGTCGGATACAGAGTGCTTCTTCGTGCAGCGTAACTTAACTTTGCCAGAATGTCCTCGCAACTTTTGGTTGCTAATCTGGAACTTAAGGGAAGCTTGCCTCGAACGAGTGACATCATGGCATTTGAGTCCAATGCTCGTTCGTGATGAATTTCTACTGCACTGCTGCCAGGTTTGAAATGGTTTGAACTTGTCCTGGAATTCATGACTCCTGAATCACTCTATGCTGCTACAGCCGCGTAACCCTCGCTACCATGCCGCCTGAAGTTCTGAAGCGAAAACCGTGGTGCACAAGGAGACAGCCCAAGCCCCACATCAACGCTGGGCAGACGAAAGCCTGGCAGACCAAACCCATACACCGAAACCGTGGACAATCCGTATCGAGCTGTATTCATGGAGGAGCTGGTCTGGGTAGCTCCTCCTGAGACCGGAGCTTCCGGTAGGCATGCAGCACCACCGCTTGAGAGCAATCCTCTTGGAACCGAGTCCTAAGCAACCAACGAAGAGCTGCCATGCAGCTGAAAGCAATGTGTGGGCAGAAGTCGTGCGATCTGCTTCCACTGGCTTGGTCAGAGGGCCTGCTACTGCACTAGCCGCTAGCAGTAAGCATGGCGTGTGATCCTTGGAGTTCTCTGCCGAGGTGCTCCAGCCACTCATGCTGCCGCCGGGTAGAGTAGCCAGGGACAAGCACAACCGCGGCCTGCTCGATCAGTGCTTCCAAACCAATACCAGACACACAGGAGTGCAATGGAGTGCATGGATGTGCATGACATGAAATCTGACCTCTTCAAGCTGCCGCACCATGCACGTTCGAGCGATGCCCCGAATGGCTTCAAAAGAGTTGTGCAGACGGGCAGCGTACCCGTACACCTTGGAGGAAGCTGTGAAATGCAGGTAACTACCCGGAGTTGCATGGGTTTTACCGGAAAACATCCGAAGCTCATGTTGCAGGGAAGCACCTGGCAGAACTCGAGCTCAGGCACTCGGCTTTCGGTCTCTGCAAAGCTCAGAACGTAGAAGGCTTCCTTCCCCGCGGCGCAGCTCGGAGTCGAAGGTGTTCTTGGGGGACGCCGTGAGAGCTGTTTCGCGACAGCTGCAGCTTGCAGCTCGAAAGTCTTCAGGTAGTTGTTGCACACCTGCGGTCAGCCCAACACCCCTCTAAACGGAGCACGAATGTCGTGCAGCAAGCTGGATTGGCCTCGGCTGCTTCGCGTCTCAGCCGAGAACGGACGGTGACATCCAGTGCACGCAACTTTGCGACCAGCTCTGGAAGCTCGTCGTCCGCCACCATCACACCATATGTCTCCTCTATTAGTATATATATATATATATATACAACTAATCATACAAGTGAAGAAGATAGAGACAGGGGGACACACACACGCACGCACACGCACACGCACACGCACACGCACACGCACACGCACACGCACACGCACACACACACACACACACACACACACACACGCACACGCACACGCAACACGCAACACGCAACACGCAACACGCAACACGCAACACGCAACACGCAACAGGCAACACGCAACACGCCCACGCCCACGCCCACGCCCACGTGCACGCGCACCCACACACACACACACACACTCACACACA